TTGAACAACCCAAATTGATCATAAAACTAGAGTTTATTGTTTGTTATATATTACTTTAACAGCTAAGCTATAGGTGTTAATCAAATATATGTGTTAGATTGGTCTCAATGTAGAGGATATTATTTGTAAAGAAAGTGTTTTTGCAAGATTAACAAATGGCTTCTGGTAAATTGGATAGTAAAAGAGACCTAACATTTAAAAACCGGGTCTTAAATTAAACTTAAGTTTAGTTTTTTTATATTTTAATAAAAAAACCAAGTTTCTATATACTTTTTGTAAATATTTAAATTTGTGTCCCTGACTTTATTGTTAGCATGCAAAAATTTAAACATTTATAAACCTTTCATGCGTTAAATAAACATACTTTAATGTAACTAATGCAAACTATGACTAAATAAAAGACTTAAGAACTAAACTTTTAAAACAAGCGTGTGTCAAGGTTGTGTCTTAAGTCTTTTGATTAAATAGCCATTTGTAGAACAAATTTGTTAACAAGTTTAACCAAAAAATTTTATAAAATTAAATAAACAAGTTACATTTAAGTATATTAATTAAAATTCGTTAATTTACTGCAGAATGTATGCATTTATTAGGGTGGTCCTCTTTTAGTGGGCAAATTTTTTTGGTTAAAAATTATTACAATTATAAAATCAGTGTTCCGAGACTGTTCAGAGTGACCAGATCCGACCTAGGCCACTACTGGCCTATTGTGCTCTCATTTTCATTGAAACTAGCAATGACATATCATGTGAGCAAGTTTTTCACTTCTCTCTCCTCATGCAGTTCGTCCAATTTCGCTGGGTTGTGCCCGCAAACCTAAGAATATAATATGTTCGTGAGTGAACCTAATATTTACCAAATATTCTTAAGTATTTTTGAAAATAATTTGGCATTAAATTGAAATTTAAGTTTTGAATAATATTTGTATTGCGTTTCAAAAATAAAGCTTATTAACAAAAATGTATAATAAGTTTTCTTTATAAAATAATAATAACTCAAAAAACTAGCACACTCCTTATTATTGAAACAAAAAATTAAAATTTTAATACCTTATTTTTTAATAATATTATTAACGACAATTGATTGATTAATTTCTTTTTCTTAATAAATAAACTCCAAAAGGCGACCTAAGTAAACAACAAGTTTGTTATAATTTCCATTAATTTCAATTTATTTTGGTTTCTAAGCTAAGCCTGTTCTTGCAGATTTTCTAGTAGAAATAAATGTCTCAAGAATTTTTGTTGTCATTATGCCAAACCGTAGAACCAATAAAGAAACAAACAAACAAATAAATGCTTTAAGCCAAATTGAGAATGTGTTATGAAAAACCAACTAACAACGCATAAATTGTAATCGTCGTAAGACATCTGGGAGTGTGGGTTTTTAAAATTTATATAAAACGCCAAAGTTATCAAAGATTTATTTGGTTTTAATACAATTTCATTTTTTTTTTTTTATTATTATTTTAATTCTACTTTGATATTGGGTGGCACAGTTGTCACTTGGCTTAAAAATAATAATCATATGCTAATGTAATAACAAGAAATAATATTAAATTAAAAAAAAACAAGAACTCTTTGTAGTTGAAGTTTTAGGTATTAAATGCTTATAGAGTGTAGGCATACAAGTCTATTTGCAATTCTTATGTATATAAAAAAGAAACAGCGACAGTATAGCACCAAAATCGAAACAAATAATTCATAAGATATTAACAATACGATTTTTTTCTGTAATGTGTGTGAGTGTATATTTGTTTTTCCTTATGATAGAATTTCTTAAGATTTTATTTATTCTTTATTGAAATTATATACGTTTTATTGCTTGTTATTTAGAGTTCAAGTACAATTAGTACAAAAAAAAATACACTGAAAGAAATAGTAAAGTTAATATATAAAAGTGTATGTACATATAGTCTCCTACTACTGTCTACTCAAAAGTCGAGTCTATACTCCCTAGTCTATTCTAATCTAATTTATAGTTTAGACTAAAGACTACTCTATAGTCCAGTCTATAGTCTAGTCTATAGTCTAGTCTATAGTCTAGTCTATAGTCTAGTCTATAGTCTAGTCCATAGTCTAGTCTATAGTCTAGTCTATAGTCTAGTCTATAGTCTAGTCTATAGTCTAGTCTATAGTCTAGTCTATAGTCTAGTCTATAGTCTAGTCTAGTCTAGTCTATAGTCTAGTCTATAGTCTAGTCTATAGTCTAGTCTATAGTCTAGTCTATAGTCTAGTCTATAGTCTAGTCTATAGTCTAGTCTATAGTCTAGTCTATAGTCTAGTCTATAGTCTAGTCTATAGTCTAGTCTATAGTCTAGTCTATAGTCTAGTCTATAGTCTAGTCTATAGTCTAGTCTATAGTCTAGTCTATAGTCTAGTCTATATAGTCTAGTCTATAGTCTAGTCTATAGTCTAGTCTATAGTCTAGTCTATAGTCTAGTCTATAGTCTAGTCTATAGTCTAGTCTATAGTCTAGTCTATAGTCTAGTCTATAGTCTAGTCTATAGTCTAGTCTATAGTCTAGTCTATAGTCTAGTCTATAGTCTAGTCTATAGTCTAGTCTATAGTCTAGTCTATAGTCTAGTCTATAGTCTAGTCTATAGTCTAGTCTATAGTCTAGTCTATAGTCTAGTCTATAGTCTAGTCTATAGTCTAGTCTATAGTCTAGTCTATAGTCTAGTCTATAGTCTAGTCTATAGTCTAGTCTATAGTCTAGTCTATAGTCTAGTCTATAGTCTAGTCTATAGTCTAGTCTATAGTCTAGTCTATAGTCTAGTCTATAGTCTAGTCTATAGTCTAGTCTATAGTCTAGTCTATAGTCTAGTCTATAGTCTAGTCTATAGTCTAGTCTATAGTCTAGTCTATAGTCTAGTCTATAGTCTAGTCTATAGTCTAGTCTATAGTCTAGTCTATAGTCTAGTCTATAGTCTAGTCTATAGTCTAGTCTATAGTCTAGTCTATAGTCTAGTCTATAGTCTAGTCTATAGTCTAGTCTATAGTCTAGTCTATAGTCTAGTCTATAGTCTAGTCTATAGTCTAGTCTATAGTCTAGTCTATAGTCTAGTCTATAGTCTAGTCTATAGTCTAGTCTATAGTCTAGTCTATAGTCTAGTCTATAGTCTAGTCTATAGTCTAGTCTATAGTCTAGTCTATAGTCTAGTCTATAGTCTAGTCTATAGTCTAGTCTATAGTCTAGTCTATAGTCTAGTCTATAGTCTAGTCTATAGTCCAGTCTATAGTCTAGTCTATAGTCTAGTCTATAGTCTAGTCTATAGTCTAGTCTATAGTCTAGTCTATAGTCTAGTCTATAGTCTAGTCTATAGTCTAGTCTATAGTCTAGTCTATAGTCTAGTCTATAGTCTAGTCTATAGTCTAGTCTATAGTCTAGTCTAGTCTATAGTCTAGTCTAAGTCTAGTCTAAGTCTAGTCTAGTCTAGTCTAGTCTAGTCTAGTCTAGTCTAGTCTAGTCTAGTCTAGTCTAGTCTAGTCTAGTCTAGTCTAGTCTAGTCTAGTCTAGTCTAGTCTAGTCTAGTCTAGTCTAATCTAGTCTAGTCTAGTCTAGTCTAGTCTAGTCTAGTCTAGTCTAGTCTAGTCTAGTCTAGTCTAGTCTAGTCTAGTCTAGTCTAGTCTATAGTCCAGTCTACTTATATATTTACTTGAGGACTTCATGACATAACACTGAATGGTCAAATATATAAAGACCACTAAGAAAAGGCTTTTTAAAAATTTCACTACCTTTAAAAACCTGTTCCCGCATAATTTATCAATATTTATCTATCATCCTGAAAAGTAACATTTTTCCATTTATGAAAATCATTTTTTTATAAAATGTCATTTATTTGCAAAACATTAAGAAACTTCCGTTGGTGCTACGAAATCATCAACGAAATGGTTTTACAATAAAATCAAAAGATTAATGATTTTAACCGCCTTACAAAAACGAAAAGCTCAAACGAAAAACTAAAAAAGTTTTCCAACATTAAATCAAAACGAAACCAGTTAAATAATTACGTTTGAAAATTTTGCAATCAAACATGATCATCTCCATTTAAAGATACAAATAAAAACATTGACTGTGTACATACATATGCATTTGTTGTTTAAAGCAAAGTCAAGGTGATTTGATGTCAGACACACGTATAGAAAACAAAAAGAAGAAGACAATCAGATTTATTTTTACAAATATTAAAGAAAAATCAAGATAAAAAGATGTTCAGGCGATTAGAAGATGAGAAAGAAAATTTGTCTCACTACTTAACGAACAAAAGACATTTTCATGTCGGAGTTTTTTTTTAACGAAAAATTTATTTAATGTGAGATGTTGTTGCAAGATCATGTAATGTGTATGTGTGGCAATTTTGTTGCTGCAGTTTCGCACAATTGCGCAACTTTTTCTTTTTTTTTTTTTGTTGCTTCTGACTGCCTTTATTTTTCAATAACCAGTTTCCATTGAAAGCGAGAAAAGAAATCACTGTTGTTTAAAATAAATCGTACCAGAAATGACAAACGGAAGCAGCGCCATTGCAATGATCATTCAGAAAAACACACACAGAAAAAAATCAACAAAATACAGTTTAAGGCGAAAAACAAGTATTTGTTTTGGCGCGCAAAATTTTGTGGCAAATGGAAAACTTTTTGCACTTAAAACACTGCAACAATAAATTAATGACTTCAATGGCAAAGTGTAACAAGTCTTTAATAATGAAATTTATAAATTTTTATTGCAAAACATAAATATTTGTTTAAATGTGAAGTTGCAATGACAAGCTTTTAATCTTTTGTTAAAATCACACAAAAATAGTTGCAACTACCATATAGTGAGATCATATTTTTTAGAATGTTTCGACAAGTTCATTTGAAAACCAGTAGAATAATAAAATGCCTACATTAAATTGCTTTTTGCTCATACAAAATGTTGTTTAACTATTTATGAGATACAAATAAAAAATAAATAAAAAACTCATATTTATACGAGCAACAAACAATTGAGGACTCACGTACTGTACAATAGGATTTGAAATTGTTTTATTAAATTTAATAGAAAAAAACATAACAACAAAAACATTTTTATAATTCCAAACAGTTCGTTAAGGCAAGAAAATATGCAAAATTCTAATAAAAATAGATCTTGTTTGCCGATAATCTCTAACATTAATTAAATATTTTGTAATTCTTCTTCCATGTCATGAGAACCATTTTCCTGCTTCTTATCACTGTCATCTTTGCCATAATTGCCAAATGTTAGATTGACATCAAAGGCAGAACGTTCAAATATGTCCAATGGTGTGTAGTTGTTTTGTATGGGCCAAAAGAGTGCCTCTTCATCTTGATGTGTCGGTATAATTCTGTAGGTTAGAGCAAAATCTTTAACCGTATGATAGAATTTATTGGCGTCCAACACTAAATCTATACGTTGTATTTCAGGCAATAGTTTGTTGAAGGGATCAGGGGGTAACATAAATAAATCAACTGGAGTTTCTTTAGGGGTTTCTATTGCATCTGGGGCTATTTATTGCAAATTAAATGATTAATATTTATTTTTAAAAAATTCAACGGAAATGTTGGACTTACCAGTTTTTCTCAATTGTTTGGACAAAGTTTCAACTATTGCTATAACTTTTTCTTTTATTTTCAAATGCTGCACCGCCATTAGATTATACTCTCTGGGAGTTGAAGGTGGAAATTTTTCATTAATATTAATGGCCGGGGAACGACGGCTGTAGAAGCAATTAAAATAGGTCTGCAAATTTAGAAATATTACATATTGTGTAAAAAATCTCTTTCTTTACGCCACCTTAAGCAATTAACCAATCTTCCCTTTCAAACCCTTTAAAAAAAACTGCCCTCCTTAAAACTCACCTCACCAATTTTGTCCTCTACCAAAAATACTCGCGAACTTGCCCATATACGATCATGAAACGCCGCCAATTCTTCGAAAAATATTGCTATCATTTCCTCAGCACCCTCAATCATTAAATACGTATGACTAGAGCCCATGACAATACTTAGACCTGACAAATGATCCGTAGCACTTCTTTTCCTTTCGCAAGTTGTAAATATTTCATCCAAATAATGTTGAAAATATTCCCGAAAATCTGGTTGCTGTATATTGGCAACAGAAAAATTCGCATTTCGACAAAACACCTCGAGTTTTTTCTCATCGATATTCCTTGCCAATACGAAGACTCTTTGAAAATAAGTCTTACGACCCAATTCTTCCAACTCCTCACGCATATAAACATTAAGAGCTTTACGTATTTGAAAGGTATCCACTTCGGTTTTGGGTAGAAATCGGGAGGGTTTTGCAAGGCGTCCATAACGTGAGGCTCGTATTTTCGAAACATTTTCTGGATCGTTTTCTGTTTGTTGTTCCGATTTTTTGTTGTGCTGTAGTAAATGGCGATTTTTAGGCATATTTGTTGAACGATGTAATCAATGTGTTAAAGGAAATTGTGTAAATTTAGTATTTTAAATAATGTTGTTATTTATATTTTTATGTTGCTATGTATTGTTTTGGTAACCGGGTAACATAGTCATTGATTTATTTTTCTTGTTTCTCTTTTATTTTTAGTTGGTGTGTCTGGAAATTTCAAGTGTTTTAGCCAGCGATCAATATCACATACAAACAGATGAGGGACCCGAACGATATTTTCGTTTTCAAACAAACAATGGTCAATTTCGGAAAGAAAAACGTTTACAGGATGGCACAGTCATTGGTAAGTTGTGAAAAATAATATCTATTTAAAATATTTACAATTTATGCGGCAAGATACAAGAACTAGAACTGAACTAGAACTGAACTAGAACTGAACTAGAACTGAACTAGAACTGAACTAGAACTGAACTAGAAAAAGAACTGAACTAGAAAAAGAACTGAACTAGAACTGAACTAGAACTGAACTGAACTGAACTAGAACTAGAACTGAACTAGAACTAAACTGGAACTGAACTAGAACTAAATTATGTAGAACTAAACTGAAGAGAACTCGAATTGGTTTGATGGGATCTATCTTGTATTTTTTTCTTTTAGGTACCGAAGCCTGGATAGATGCTGCAGGTTATTTAAGACTTAAGGATTATATAGCCGATAAGCAGGGTTATCGAATTTTAAAATCAAAAGTAGTTTTTGTAGGTCAAGGCACAGAAATTGAGGTAAGTTAAACCGAAAGCAAAAAGGAATCGTTTTAAATAAATAACAACATCATGTCAGATACTTTAGGGATGCTATAAAACTTTGTCAAATTCTTTTCCATTTTCAGGATGCCATTAAATCAACCAAAGCAGTTCCTGCTCAATCAGGTGTTTTAGTTGATGGTAAACATGGTTTACAAAACAGACCAAATAGTATCGCAAGTCATAGTTCGAGTATTTATGCACAAGTTACGAGTACTTTAGCACCTCCCACTGCCCCACCCGTTACCACCACCACAGAACGTCCCATTTTGGGTTACTTATCTCCGGCCGAAGCGGCAAAACTGGAGCCTACGTCCTATTTAGGTTTCGATCATTATCCAAATGAATTGCCAGAGGCACCCAAACACCGTCGACCTGTAGTTTATGTACGTCCTCCTAAACAGCAGTACAATTATCAATATACGACGACAACAGAAAGAACTGAAATACCACTGCCCTCCATAGATATGGAACCTCCTAGAGAAAGTACACGTCGTAGAATAAGACCCATAGTTGTGGCACCTTTAAAGCCGCAACCTATTGCAGCAGATGAACTAAAACAGGGTGTTTATGGCTATTCAACACCTAAACCATTTGAAGCTGTTATAAGAACTACAGCAACTCCTAATGCTGGTTACAATTATGGACCCAGTGCATATGGTCAATCTTCACAAAACCTGCCACTAGATGTCAACGCTTTGGAAGGTGGTCTATTACCCCCCTTGCCCCCTCTCTACCAAAGGCGTAGAGTGCCGGCACAAGCCAATAATGATTACACTGCCCCAGATTACAATGATGTTACTGTTACGCGCAATGGCTTCCGCTACATTTTACCCCATCAATATCACGAAGAAGAACAAATAACTGACACTAAAAAGGCTGGTAGTTTCGGTTATGTGGATCCCTTCGGTATAAGACGTGTTGTTTATTACAATGCTTCACCCGAAAAAGGTTTCATACACAGAAATCGCAATCGTTATGTGGGTCTGGGAGCACAACCTTATGATGAACCTCAACCTACGAATGTGTAGAAAAGGCTTAAGACACTAACATCTCATGTTAATTAAGGTTCATTAGCGTGCTTAAACTTCATCTGATACTTTGGAAATCCTGGTAAGGCTGATTGTGCTATGTGTTTGTGATTTATAGAACACTTGGCTTTCCGGGATTTTTTATTTAATTTAGTTTATTCTAATAACTCTACTCTCATACTAATCTCAGCTAACAATTAAACATTAACCACAAATACTAGCCAAAGATGAAGTCAATTGAAGCAGTGTCCTTTACTATTCCAACATTATTTAAAAGTCTTTGAGCCAACAACAACTACAAAAACAAACCAGCCAACCTCAACGAAATGCTTTAAATATTTTATTTTTTTTTTTATTTTTTTTTATTATTTTTCTAACCGAATTTTCTGTGTTAATTAATTATGTTTCCCCTAATTATATTGTGTATTATTTAAAAAAAAATATTATTATAATTTTAATTTGTAGGAAATAAGTACGATACAATTCGAAACAAACCAAACAAAATCCGTCCAGTCAGTCAGTCCGTCAGTCTTCATTCATTTAGTCATTCGTTCAAATTCATTTCACTTATTTAAAGTTTGTATATGTCTGATTTGGATGGATGGTTTAGATAAAGACGAAATACAAAAGCACTTCCATAATTCATATTATTTTTTTAATTTTCCAAATAGTTTTATTTACACCACTCCTCCACTTTAATCCATTCCACTATTCACTTTGCAAAGGCACAAACGTCTAGTTTAAAACTTCCTCTATTCAATTGCTTAGTTAATTTATTTTTTGTTTTTTAATTTTTATTTGTTGCTTTATTAATAACCTACTAAAATATTTAGAAGTAATTTAAATAACTAAACAATTTGTGCAATTTACAAAACATGATAACACACATACGTACATATGTATGTAGTGTGTTTTTAGGTATAAACACAATTGTAGCGACTAAGCGATAGTTCTTAAATGTTTAAATTTATTTAAAACAAGTTCAAAGCTTTTTGCAGATCGTCATTTAAAATATTAATAATAGACTAGACTATATACCAGACTATAGATTAGACTATGGACTAGACTATAGACTAGACTATAGACTAGACTATAGACTAGACTATAGACTAGACTATAGACTAGACTATAGACTAGACTATAGACTAGACTATAGACTAGACTATAGACTAGACTAGACTAGACTAGACTATAGACTAGACTATAGACTAGACTATAGACTAGACTATAGACTAGACTATAGACTAGACTATAGACTAGACTATAGACTAGACTATAGACTAGACTATAGACTAGACTATAGACTAGACTATAGACTAGACTATAGACTAGACTATAGACTAGACTATAGACTAGACTATAGACTAGACTATAGACTAGACTATAGACTAGACTATAGACTAGACTATAGACTAGACTATAGACTAGACTATAGACTAGACTATAGACTAGACTATAGACTAGACTATAGACTAGACTATAGACTAGACTATAGACTAGACTATAGACTAGACTATAGACTAGACTATAGACTAGACTATAGACTAGACTATAGACTAGACTATAGACTAGACTATAGACTAGACTATAGACTAGACTATAGACTAGACTATAGACTAGACTATAGACTAGACTATAGACTAGACTATAGACTAGACTATACTATAGACTAGACTATAGACTAGACTATAGACTAGACTATAGACTAGACTATAGACTAGACTATAGACTAGACTATAGACTTGACTATAGACTAGACTAGACTATAGACTTGACTATAGACTAGACTATAGACTTGACTATAGACTAGACTATAGACTAGACTATAGACTAGAGTCTAGTCTATAGTCTAGTCTATAGTCTAGTCTATAGTCTAGTCTATAGTCTAGTCTATAGTCTAGTCTATAGTCTAGTCTATAGTCTAATCTATAGTCTAGTCTATAGTCTAGTCTATAGTCTAGTCTATAGTCTAGTCTATAGTCTAGTCTATAGTCTGGTCTATAGTCTAGTCTATAGTCTAGTCTATAGTCTAGTCTAAAGTCTAGTCTATAGTCTAGTCTATAGTCTGGTCTATAGTCTATAGACTAGACTATAGACCAGACTATAGACTAAACTATAAGTAAACTAGACTTTAGACTAAAATTTATCAAAATTAAATTACTATAACATTGCTGTTTGGAGTCAAACTTTCGTCCAATTTGTATGGCGATTCTGAAATACTTCCATGGCAGATTTCTCGCCCATCGCTTAGTCTTTCTAATTGTGTTTTCATTCATCTCAATAATAAATTAAAACATTCATGTATTTAATCTTCAATTAAAGCAAATAATCGTATTTAAAATGGAAAAATAATAATGAATGCTTTTGAATACGTTTAGATAATTGTATAATTCATGTATTAATCTTGCCATATTAACATTATTTTAAATCACAAAAACTTAAATCATTTTTTTATAATCTTAGTTAATTTATAAACATAATGATATAAATTTATTAAAGTAATCAATAATATTTACAATTAAGTTGTCATTTTCATTAGTTTTTAAATACATAACAAAAAAAAAAAAAAAAAACAATTCAATCAAAAGAGTGCGTAATTCTTTACAAGTATTTATGTATTTATCTATGTAATATATTTAAATTTTAAACAAAAATATTTAATAATTTTATTGTACCATATTTAAGTGAAAAAAAAACTTCTCCACCAATTAACTAAAAAAGAAGTACGCCCTGAATTAGTTGCTTGGTTGCATGCTACCAAATTTGGCAATAGATTTTTGCTTTAATTTTTTTACTTTTAAAAGTGATTTGTTGAAACTAATACTAATAATGTAAATGATTTCCAAATATTGAAAAAAATAAGTTGAAATATTGCAAAATTTAGTAATGAAAATAAATTGCCTTTAAAAAGCATTTGTTAGTGACCACATTTGGTTCGGTTTTTCGCTTACTTCTTATTAGTTGTTGGTTTATAATAAAATTTATTTTAAAATCAATAATTGTAAACTATTTAATTTAAAGAATTTTGAAGAAAAAAATTACAAAAAAATGAGCAATAAAGAATAAACAAATAACGTTTAAATAATTGAAAGTCGTTTTTTATTTGATTGACATTTATGAGATTTTTGCAAGATGCGGTAAGTGGTTCGCATAAAAGGTGCTGGTAATAAATACATATATTGATTACACAGTGCAACAATATTGGATTTTGATTTGAGTAGTAGATACAAATGAGAACGTCTTAAGCTACCATATAGTACTACAACCAGTGTTGCCAGTTTGACGTTTTCCCCTCAAATCTGACGTTTGATAGTCTAGCCTATAGCCTAGCCAATAGTCTAGTCTATAGTCTAGTCTAGTCTATAGTCTATAGTCTAGTCTATAGTCTAGTCTGTAGTCTAGTCTATAGTCTAGTCTATAGTCTAGTCTATAGTCTAGTCTATAGTCTAGTCTATAGTCTAGTCTATAGTCTAGTCTATAGTCTAGTCTATAGTCTAATCTATAGTTTAATCTATAGTCTAGTCTATAGTCTAGTCTATAGTCTAGTCTATAGTCTAGTCTATAGTCTAGTCTATAGTCTAGTCTATAGACTAGTCTATAGTCTAGTCTATAGTCTAGTCTATAGTCTAGTATATAGTCTAGTCTAGTCTAGTCTATAGTCTAGTCTAGTCTATAGTCTAGTCTATAGTCTAGTCTATAGTCTAGTCTATAGTCTAGTCTATAGTCTAGTCTATAGTCTAGTCTATAGTCTAGTCTATAGTCTAGTCTATAGTCTAGTCTATAGTCTAGTCTATAGTCTAGTCTATAGTCTAGTCTATAGTCTAGTCTATAGTCTAGTCTATAGTCTAGTCTATAGTCTAGTCTATAGTCTAGTCTATAGTCTAGTCTATAGTCTAGTCTATAGTCTAGTCTATAGTCTAGTCTATAGTCTAGTCTATAGTCTAGTCTATAGTCTAGTCTATAGTCTAGTCTATAGTCTAGTCTATAGTCTAGTCTATAGTCTAGTCTATAGTCTAGTCTATAGTCTAGTCTATAGTCTAGTCTATAGTCTAGTCTATAGTCTAGTCTATAGTCTAGTCTATAGTCTAGTCTATAGTCTAGTCTATAGTCTAGTCTATAGTCTAGTCTATAGTCTAGTCTATAGTCTAGTCTATAGTCTAGTCTATAGTCTAGTCTATAGTCTAGTCTATAGTCTAGTCTATAGTCTAGTCTATAGTCTAGTCTATAGTCTAGTCTATAGTCTAGTCTATAGTCTAGTCTATAGTCTAGTCTATAGTCTAGTCTATAGTCTAGTCTATAGTCTAGTCTATAGTTTAGTCTAAAGTCTAATCTATAGTTTAGTCTATAGTATAGTCCATTGCTAATCAATTCAACACTTCCAATGTCGATAAGATATAGATTCCAACAAACTTAATCCAGACTCGTTTGAAACTTTTTTTTTTAATTTTAATGTGATTGAGTCATACTCTGCCGAAGTAGTTCAATTTATCAATAGTTATAGCAACATATATCAAACCATCCTTTATAAATAGTACTATAACTAACCCTAAAGAACCACTTATGTAACTAGTTCAGTCTTGGTTAATTTTTTTCTTTTAGTATAAATTTATTTAAAATTTTTCCTTAAAAAAGTTTAACAAATTAATAGTTTTTTAACAAATTTACTGCCATATTTATAATAACTTCGATGTCTAGGCTTTATGTTTTTTCACTTTCTTTTCCTTTTTCATCCTATTAACTTGTTTCTCCTTCTTTTCCTCCCTTTTTCTCTTAGTTTTGGATATTTGCTTAAAATTTTCTATAGTTTGTTTACAAACCAAAATCATATTAATAATACAAATTAAAATTATGATTTCGAATAGAAAAACAATATCAAAAGAATTTCTAGCAAAAAATCCCACTTCATTCTTATTTGTAGAGATCAGATAGTCATTGGCTTGAGGATATTGCAATAAATGTTCCACCCACCAAACAGCGGTATCTAGAGGAGGATTTTGAGGGTTTCTTAAAGTCACTTGTAATTGCTGAGCCTTTTTTAGGAAATTTTTGTTAGTTAAGATCTCTTCAAAACTCCCAGCTAGATTTACTAAATTACTTAATTCTAAATTAAGACCAAAACCCTGTTCTTCTATTCTTTTGGCCAGCTGTAAGAAATTTTAGATTAATTAAAATAAAGCCGGATTTATTAACAACAATACTTACATATCTTTGTTCGGGACTTAAAGCGACCGTGATCATTGGTATGCCCTGATATAAACACTCTTGAATTCGTAATATTTCTGGAACTGTTAAAACAATCTTAATTTCAGAATTAGCTTTAACTAGTTCCATTACTTCCAGATTGTTTAGGTTATTTGCAATAAATACATTATTTGGTTTATTTTTTAACAACTTTTTACTTTCTCCAGTATTCCAAATAAAATTATATTTTGGAAATTTACGAATCACCTTTATTATGGCCAAAACATTACTTTCTCCCAATTGATTTAAATCCAAATCGATTAAAATTAAGTCGGTTAATGAAATTTCTATAAACTCTAAAAGATCGGGAGAAGGTTTGATGGATTTTTTATTTTGTATATGAAGGCCGGGTACAGCAATGATATTTCCCGCTAGTGCTGTTAAAGTGTGTAGAGCAGGATGATGATTGGCTAAGATAACTTTAAATCGAGGCATTAATTCGTCTAAAGATTTTGGAACATTATTATTTTTAACATTATTAGACCAAAGACCTTCAATAACAGGTCTTACCACCCATTGGCGGTAACTGAAATTAAATTGGGGTTTAGTTTTAAGTTACTTAATTGTGCCAAAATTCACTTACGCATAGTCAAAACCAAATAGAGCCGTATTATACAAACGTTTCCAGTAATTCATGTTTTTACCAAAATCACTTAACACATAAGGATCTAATGCAGCATTTAAACCTGAATGCTGATTGATATTTAAAATATCAGCTGTTAAGGTGGAACTTGTTATGCCAACAATTGGTGTAGCACCAAAGAGATAAGCTATATGCAACAAACAATTGGGACCATAAGTGACATCATAAATTAACAAATCAAAAACGCGTTTCCTTTGCAAGGCCAACTTTAAAACTTCTGACAAACCGCTAGATTCCAAGTTTCCACGACATCTAGCCATGTGTTGATCATACCAATTCACTATGAATTTCCAATTACTTTGATCCAAAGCATTATGACTATTATTATTATTTTCATAACGTTGTCTAAGAAATTGTTGTGTATTTTCTAAATAAATGAAATCAATATTTGTTTCCGATTCCAAGTCCCATATTGAAGGTGTAACAACAGTTAAATCATGACCTTTAGCCGCCAATTCATTTATTAACACTTCGTTCCTTAAAATGTATAAAATTAATAAATATTTTATGTTTAAATTTCTATATTAAACTTACCATTTTAAAGCAGTTTCTGTACCAACACCCAATAAACACAATATTTTTTTGGACTCAGTTTGAGTTATTAAACTTATTAGCAGTAATATTACTAAACACGTACTTCTGATCACTTTCAATTCCATTTTGATTGTGACTAAGCGTCCAATAGGTGTTCAGTTTAATTTTTTACTTTAGGACAAAATTATAACAATTCTCTTTGATAAGATAAGTTATCGAAACACAAAGATATGAATTTCGTTTTACCGGCATAAATAATGAAAGTGCATTCATTGTTTAAATTGATAAGAATATGTACAGTGGTTTGCACAAACAAATATTTTCTTAACACTAATGAAGAATCTGTGGTTACTAGATCGATATTCGTGAAAACTTGCGTTCACACAAATTTTTCACATAAAATCGATATAATGAAAATCTTTAATAACTTAAATTAAAATTTTCTAAAATCGCCAGTAGATCCCAAAATAGTGAAAATCTGATATCACTTTAATATTCCATAATTAGGTTACGTCTACATTACGTATTTATGCAGAATATCATCGTGATATTAGTGTTTATAAGTGAATTTTGACCCATCAAGTCATTTTCTGAAGGGGACTTTATATGGGGGATTGGGTCAAATTAGGCCCGATGATTAAGACCTATATAAAACTAAGTTTTGTCGATTTTTGAAGTGATACAAGAACATTTAACACATTTATGAAATCAAAAGCCCTATTCGGGTGGTACGGTTATATGGGAACGAAATAATGGACCGATTTTAACAATTTTCAATAGTCTTTGTCTTTGGTATACTTTAAGGTGGGTGTAGGAACAATATTTTTGGATGTTACAAACATCAGCACAAACGCATAATACCTTCCCCATTATAGTGGTGTAGGATATAAAAATATAGGTAAATAACGCTCCAATTCTAAAATCAGATGTAGATCCTTAAATAACGCCCCTATTGTGATCACTCAAGAAAATTAATTTTTAGATCCTTATAATTTAAGGAGCACTTACCTATTTTTAAACCTTTTACGGTATGTTTTATGCAAATTCTCTGAGGAATTTCACGTACATTCATATGTTTTCGTTATATTTATGAAAATTGAGCCTTTTTTAATATTTACACATATTTACACATTACATTAAATCGTAATTTCTTTTCTATTTATTATTATTATTTCTATTTATTAAAAACAAAACTTTATTAAAAACATGATTTGAATAATTGGACCTTTCTTTATATAAATTAAAAATTTTCATTTTTACACTTTCTTGCCCACCTTTTGTTATTTTTATTTACACTAACACATTACATTTCTGTAAACAAACAACAAGTATCTGCAATATGAAATATAACTTGACATTACTTTTTTAACTATTTACATAACACATTCACAAATATTTCAATGGACAAATATTAAGAAACAATTTGTTTATAATTTTATGCAAACATATTTTAATTATCTTTGTTATTTTAAGGAAAAAATACAAAGTAACTAGAACAATTACTACTGAACTTCCGAACCGTGTGAAAAATGCGCGTAAACTGAAAGAAGGTGAAAAAGAAAAATGACAACTGTTTGACATGTGAGAAAAGGATGCTTAACAACCAAACTCAAATGACAGTATATGTTCTGTATTTTCCGTTATATTTTTAAGAAAATTTATTATTTAAATTTTTTTTTTTAATTTTTGTTATTGTTTTTTACCATTGTTGCCATGCTGAAGGCCGTTGTTATCTCAAAAAGCATTATAAAAGATTTTATTGAAAACGCTAATTTGGCAATAGGAAAATATTTGTTACCAATAGCATACTTTCAGGATGGAAATTTTAAAAACTATCTTGTAAAATAACGAAATTTGTGGTGAAATATAATTTATTCACCAATATTTTTAAAATTAAACATCGAATACCAATCATCCAATGTTGTCTATTTAGAGCTTTTCACATACTTTATTTTTTAGAACAATACATAAATATTTATAGTATTTCTTACATTGCTTAAAGTTTATATTTTCTTAATTATAACCTTTACGGTATTTATGAAAAGAAACATTTTCAATTTGAAACCTATACAGCATACTTTTAGCACATTTTATGAATAACTCAACAAAATAACTATTTTTTGAAATTCACCTTCGTTTTTTTATATCTCTTGTCTGTTATTTAGTTAAAATGTTGCCAATTTGTAGTTAGAAGAAAAACATATTTTTTTTAATACTTTCTTATTAGAAAATCGCTACATTTAACAGAGAATCGTGTTTGGTTGATAAAATCGCAGAGATGGCAACTCGTTTGAAATGTAAATAGAGAAAAAAATGTTCGTTAGTGGCGCAAAAAATTTTTAATTAATTAAATAAATAAAAGTTTTTTTGTATAGTTTTAATTAAGAAATGTTTATTTATAGAGTTGTTTGTGATACAAATTTTTGAAACAGTAAAATAATTGTGAAAATTTGTAAAAGAAAGCTGAAAATTGCAGTCGAGCCCTCAGAATGTTTCTTATTGGTGTGTGGTTGGAGGCTATTAACAAGTGGATATTATTTTGTCGGTAAGTCGTTCAATTATTATAATAATTTTATACTTAAAGTTTAACTTAGGAACTCTACCACTTTTCCTTATGGGAATTAAACATTAAAAAGTTATTAAGTAGTTTGTCACTATGAATAACATTCCAATTATTTCCATTAAATTTTGTGTGGGCACCAACTCCATTGAAAAGATCGGAGTTATTTCTTTCGGTAATAACAATGAATTTTCTAATGTAACATTGCATTACTATCAAATGTTTACAGAAAATACAGGCTACAGGAACCTTTTGAAAACTATCCCAACATTTCATGGGGGCTGTCTCCTTTACATGTAACAAGCTATTTTAACACTTCTTTTCCAAGGAAGAAGTTAATCACCACTCCATAGATTTCAAAGAGATAGTCAGAAGGCTAAATGATGACGATCTCCACTTTCTCTTACAAAAGGGACACTAAAGTGACGAATGTCTTCACTTTCGTTGAAAAAGAGTACATTCGAGATCAATGACGGATTAGAGTCAAACAGGTAGTTGGACGTTAGTGAAAATTATTGTAACTTTCGAATGCATTGACTCGAACTGTTGGAGTGTTACAAATGTTTAGCTATACTAACCAAGCAGTACGAAAAAGACTTCCCACGACAATTAAATTTTCGCTCCGGTAAGACCTGAACCATACTATCTTTAGATTATTAAACCAGCGACAACTGTATGCACCGAATGTTATTTTCTCACGAAAAAACTATTGGCCATATTCGAACTGCCGCCCAAAATATTCTAGAGAGAATACATTAAAAAACATAAGCGAAAAGGTTTAACGTCATATATTGACCCTTTTGTACTAGATTTCTGTCTGTCTCTTTGTAATCTATTCAGTGAGGATTGACTTACTCCTACCCCATGTTAAAATAGCTAGTCACCTGGGCAGTGGGATACTAGGGGTACTATAAGTAGTAGTTTATATAGGACAGACTCAACTTCTGGAAATAAACAAACAAATAAATAAAGTAAAAATGAAGGAATTTTAAATTGGTTCAATTTCAAATTAAATGCGATAGAACTTAAACGAGTTGGTAATGTCATCCCTTACGGCTAATGAAATTCTTACCTGTCCAATACACATAATATGCTTAACTATAAATGAATTGAATCAGAATGTATAAAAATATGTGTCTAATTTTTGCACAATGCTTGAACTGATATTTTTTCTTAAGAGAAAATATAATATTGTTAGAACCATTATGTACTTAATGATGGATTTATATAATATCGTATATCTGTAAGTAAAACACTTTTACTTTATATTAACTTAAAGTGAGGACTTAAGGTCGGGGAATTATTCAATTTTATTGAACTGTACTTTTAACATTGATTGATCCTTGAAATACACGAATGGATTCTAACAAATTAATACAAAGTATTATCAATGTAAATACATATTTAAATAGGGCGTGTTAAGCAACAAATTTGCAGCGTACATATAATTACAGGTAGTTTATTTTAAGGTGTTCATATTTAGAATGTAAGAAAAAATATTTTGAAAGAATATTAGTTTCCTAGTAGACAAGGAAGAGTAGACATCTTTTTCAATTTATAACGCATTATTTTGGTTTTAAATATCATCAGAAACTTTTTTAAAAAGCTCTTTTAAGTGAAAAATTTAAGAATCACTGTTTGTTTATATGATCACTTTTAAACTCAAACTTTAAAAGCTTTTTTTCATATTTGTTTTGATTATAAACAAGTACAATAAAAAAATATTTCTCTACCTCTGCACTGTTATTGTTTTTGTTATTTTTACTGTGTGTATGCCAATCACGACTTTTAGTCTTTGTAAAACTACCTTTGAAAACGATACAAACAAATTTGATTCAACAGCTTGAAAAAAAACAACAACAGAACACTCACTCACCACACAAATTCCCTAGGAAAATGAGATATTTACGAAAATTTCCCAATTTGTCCAAGACAAGAACGTATAGTACAAAACCACATTTTGCCAAACCATATCAAGATATACCAGGACCAAGAGGTCCTTTAGGCTTAGGTAATATCTTTAAATATCTACCATTGGTGGGTCAGTATTCATGGCAAGCATTACATAAAGCCGGTGCTGATAAATATGAAAAATATGGTCCAATTGTTAAAGAGACCATGGTGCCGGGTGAGGATATAGTGTGGTTATATGATCCCAAGGATGTGGCCACATTGTTAAATGAAAAAGATTGTCCTCTAAGGAGAAGTCATTTGGCTTTGGAAAAATATCGTAAAGATCGGCCACATGTGTATAGAACAGCGGGCTTATTGCCAACGTAAGTGTTTACATTGTATCTTTGGTGAATAGTGCTTGAAACTGAAAATGTGTTATTTTAGCAATGGTAGCGAATGGTGGCGTTTACGCTCGGAATTACAAAAAGAAATCAGTGCTCCAAAAAGTGTGCGTAGTTTTCTACTAGAAGTAGATGAAGTGACCAAAGAATTTATAGACTATGTAACAAAAAATGATGATATAGATATTTTACCTAAATTGACTAGGTTAAATCTGGAATGTAAGTATAGTACAAAGGAAATAAATATGAAACGAATTAATTTTCTAATAAAATATAGTAACCTGCTTAATAACCTTTGGCGAGAGATTAAATTCTTTCACGGAAACGGAACAGCTGAGTAATTCACGTTCTAGCAAACTAATGCTGGCGGCAGAAACTACCAATAGCAATATTTTACCCACCGATCAGGGTTTACGTTTATGGCGTTACTTTGAAACGGCAGCCTATAAAAAATTACGTAAATCTCAAGAGTTTATGGAAAGTGTGGCTGTAGATTTGGTGTCCCAAAAGTTAGCCTACTTTAAAGATACTTCCATAGATGCTACCGAAAGTCCCACCTCCTTAAGTAGAACCTGTTTGATTGAAGAATATTTAAAAAATCCGAATTTAGATTTATGTGATGTAGTGGGTACAGCAGCAGATTTGCTGTTAGCTGGTATTGATACCACTTCCTATAGCACAGCCTTTGCTTTGTACCACATCTCGCGTCATCCTATGGTACAACAAAGAATTTATGAAGAGTCCCTTAAGGTAATGAAAGAGCCAGATGCTCCTATATTGGCGGATAGTCTTAATACGGGTATACCCTATACTAGGGCTGTATTAAAAGAAGTATTTCGTTTGAATCCCATATCGGTGGGAGTGGGTCGTATTTTAAATAGAGACTTAATATTGGGAGGTTATCATGTACCCAAAGGGGTAAGTTGTACTAATAAACTACAATTTTTTATTATAAATTTGCTTACTTTAGACAGTAGTGGTTACCCAAAATATGGTGGCTTGCCGTTTGGAAAAGAATTTTAAGAATGCTTTAGCTTTTCAACCAGAGCGTTGGCTTAAAAATGCGCGCAGCTCTATTAATCCTTATTTGGTTTTACCTTTTGGACATGGCATGCGTGCCTGCATAGCAAGACGTTTGGCAGAACAAAATATTTTAGTTTTATTGTTAAGGGTAAGTTATCTTTTATCAATTCCTAGTTGAAACCAGTTTATTCCGTTTGCTTTTCAGTTTATACGCAATTATGACATATCCTGGCAAGGCAATGATGAAGAATTAGATGTTGTTACTTTATTGATTAACAAACCTAGTGAACCCGTTGCCATAAAATTAAAACAACGGATGTAGCATTTGCTTATATGTTATTCAAATTAACCACTAACTACTGACAACTCCTGCTGAATCTTATGAATTATATTAACATTTTTTAAAGTAAAAGATTTTTTTGTATTCTTTTTTGTTTAAATGTTTTTTTATTTCTCTTTATATGAAGTTGTTGGTTGTTATTTTTTTTATTATTGGTTTACTAAATGTTACGGAATCTTAAATAAGTTTTTGTAAACTAATTTTATTCTTTTGTTAAATTTAAAATAAGCTTTAAAAATTATAGAAAACTATTGTATAAATTAATTTTTAATTTTTTTTAGAAAGAAAGGCTTTTCCGAGTATATTATTTAACTGTTTTACTTTTTATTTTAATAAATAATTGATTAATTGTATTTACATGTACGTACAAAATATTTAAAGTAAATGTTTTAATTGAAATGTTGTTTGTTTTTTAATATATTTTTATTTGTTTTACAAAAAAATTTTCTAGAAGGCCTTTTTTGTGGTGAAAATTCTATACTGAGTCCATACAAACATTTATTCATTTATGTATACATTTATGATTTGTTATACTAAGGTTCTTTTATTCCATAAATTTACTTTTCATGTGTCTTTGTTATAAGTTTGTTTTATGTTTTTTATGCATAAATTATTATAATTATAGTTTCATATTTCTGTGTTATTTAGTTGCGAATTGTGTGAACATTTTTATTAAATGAATTTAGTTTTTTTCAGAATGAATTCTTGTTAAAAGCACTTTTTGATTTGTCTAAAGTCTTTTTTAATAGAAATATGAAACATTTAAATCTAAATTTATATATGGATGCTTTTATTTGTTTTAAATAAATTCTAATGAAGACATTTCTCAACACTTAGTTTTAACATGAAATAGTTAAGTTTAGCAATTTGTCAAAAACATATCAATTGATCAAGTCATTAAGATTAATAACTTAAACTAAGAAATGCCAACATTTTGAAATAAATCTCTTAACAAATCTCAAAACAATTGCAGCTAAAATACATATGTATATTGAAAACTTAAGATATGTGTGTGTGAGTGTGAGAATAAGAAACTAAATATATAATTGAAAATGCTTTCTAAACAGACTTCTTTCTAATGACTTGATCTCTGTTCCCGCTGTTGGCTCACTCTGTGAAATAAAGTATAACTTTTTTTTTGTCTAATATAATGATTATGTTTACTAAGCTAATTATGACTTTACTACAAAAATACATTAATTAATTACATACATATAAACATTTAACACTTTTTTTTAATTCATTATTCTCTTTTTGTTTTTGCTATAAAAAATATATAAAAAAAAAGAAAACTGAAATAAAGAAACTGACAAAAGTTTTTAGTTCTTATATAAAATAGATTAAATTAAAATTAATCTCGCTATAATTATAAGAAACTTTAACTTTGGTCGTTTGGTTTTGCTTTGTATTTCTATATGTTATTTAAATTTTTATAGAACTTTATCTATAAAAGATCTAAGAATACGTATGTATATGTGTGTGTATGTGAATTTTGTCCTGTAATATTTATAATTATACAATAAATATGTAAATATGTTTAGAAAATGATGAGTATGATTATGATTTCTAATTGATTGAGTATCAAAAGTTCTGCTCCTATAATTCCAAGAGCAGAACCTCTTCATGCTAGAGTGCATTTAAGAGAGACGAGTCCATCATGCGATCATCGTAAAGACTTAAAGTTTTTGAAGCTCTTATTTTACGTACCGAAGGTGGTACATCTCCTGGCGTCTTGACACGTTGACTGGGATCACGTAGTCTTTCATTGCTGCCACGTGCATTAAATACCTCACGAAATACCTCTAGACTACGTTGTCTTCTAAATTGTGGCTCTGAATTGGAGTGATTTCTCATCATGACTGCATTATTTATGGCTGAAATATTTTTAAGTTCCGCTTCGCTTAAATGGCCATTTGTCGTGTCTATAGACAGATTAGTTGATCTAGATCGTGTTACTATATGTGAGGGTGTAGACTTTCGTTTGTCTAGACTTTTCAATCTATATTCCACTATACCATCCACTTCATCTACATCATCATTGGTATCCTCCTCTTCAAATGCATCAACTCCATTATGCAACTCTTCTTCTTCAATGGTGGTTATGGGATTTGATTGCAAACTATTGGGTGGCGTTATTTTAAAGCCATTTGTCTGTGCCAGCGGACTTAGATCCAAATTATTGGGCCTTTTATTTTGTACATAACCATTATTGGTATGATCCCCTACCAGGTTAGTCGTCGTAGCACTGGGTTTATCACAATTGGTTTTCTCTTTGTCTATAAAACTGATAACCACCGGTTTGTTGCTTAGATTTTTCTCCACCAGATTTGATTTTTCATCTCCCCCATTTAAATGCCGAAAGATGTCAAAATTCTCCATGCCATCATTTTTGCGAAACAGCCGTTTTTGTATTAAAGCTCTAACACCATGCCAACCTTTCAGTTTACGATCAGTATTTTGTTGTTTAGGAAAACCTTGGCCCATATGAGTGGATTCCTCTTGTTCCAGCGAGGGAAACTTCTTAGAGCTGCCGCCAGAGATCAATTCTTCCACAGAAACATCATCGTCTAAACAGGAAAAACCATTATCCTCACCAGAATGTGGTTGGAAACTGTGTTTCTTGCTACTTTGTATAAGTTTTTGTGGATATTGGGCCACTTTAGGTGCTAGATTTCTTTCCTGACAGGGATTTCTACCCTGATAGGGTTGCAATTGCTGTTGCGGTTGTATTAAAAGATTCTTTTCGGTTGTTGATGATGTAGATGCATGCTCATTGTTATCCTTTAAGTAAGGAAACAATTTCATATTTGGTGGTGGATTAAATACGGTATTAGTGTCGTTTGTTATGGTTTCTATATTATTGGGAGAACGAGGTTTATGCTCATAAATTGTTTCGTGTTCTGAATGAATAGTACCCAGATTATTGGTATTCAATAAAGGAGTTGTAGCTGTTAAATGGGCATTTAAACGAGCTCCTATGGTAGCAGCTTCATGCATTCTCTCCTCGGCACATAGGGAAGTTAAACGTGCCTCGGCATCATGATCCCAACAATCTTCACAAGTATCTTTTATTAGCTTTGCGGCAGGACCACCTCCCCAGCCAGTGGGGAAAAGAGGACGTGCCTTACGTCTTACTACCAATGATTGCATTTGATCGAAAGAGGGATGAGAACCCACTTCCAATTCATAAGGAGCTTTATAGGGTGGTGAGACTTGTCCTTGTGGATAAAAATCTGAACAACGTGTGGCCACTTCCCATAACACCAAACCCAAAGAGTAAACATCCATTTGTTTTAGGGAAGTCTCACAATCCCTTAAGTTTACGGCTCCTTCCAGTAGTTCTGGAGCCATATAACGCAAAGTACCCACTTCATTTATGGACTTAGTTTCAGCTTCTGCCACCTCTCCTTTGTATTCGTAACGAGGACCAAATACCTTTAAAGCAAAACCAAAATCGGCTATACAACAGGTACGATCCGCTTTTACTAAAATATTACGCGTATTCAGGTCCCTGTGTGCTATGCAGGGCTTATGTTCTTCACCTCTTTTTAATTCGGTATGTAAATGAGAAAGACCTCTAGTTATGGTTTTCACCATGCCACAGAATATTTCAAAATTCACTGTGTTAGCTATTAACCAGTCTTGTAAGCATCCCAAAGGAGCCAAAGACAAAACCAAATGATATTCCAATTTACCCTCCATAGTATGGCGTTCGTCATAGCCTAGAAAGGTTAACATTAATTTAAAATAATATATTTTATAAGTTGCCATATCTTACCGAAATAGGTCAACAAGGCGGGACAATCCATCAAAGGCAGAGAGTAAATATTCCGTTCGTTAATAAAATACTGCTGATGGGCCTCGGGAAATATTTTAACTGCCACCTCTTGGTCATGCAACAAACCCTTCATTACGGTACCATATTTGCCACTGTCCAGCATGCAAATCAAATTTAAGTTATCAACATTACGTAAATTAGAACTATAACCAGGACCCGAGGGAGCTAAAGGTGCCTCCTCTGGCTCTGGTTTTTCCCTTATGCTGCGAAAATATATAAAAGTTGACATAAGCGTTATAAAGAGGCAAACGATTAAAACAGCAAACCACAGGTTGGTGGTCGACCACTTTAGTTTATCATTAGGTTTTAATAAATTTGAAGCTTCAGCAAAATTTGTTTTCGATAACTGGAAAGAAATCGCCGTCAATTAAAATATATATTTATAAATAAAATATTACAAAAGTAAATTACCTCTAGAAATGAGGGTTCTACTACCGATACATTATTATTACAAGAATTACCCGAACAACAGCAATAATACATGGAACTATTACGCGAGGTTGATGTTGGTGAAGAACTGACACATTCCGAGTGATTACAGGTGGCATTACCTTCTGTGCTTTCTTTCCAACAACCTGCAAATTAAAGAAAATACGTAATTAATAAAAATATTGATAAAAAAATAAAAAAAAAAATTGTTCGCCCGAGCAGGGACTTGAACCCTGGACCCTTGGATTAAAAGTCCAATGCTCTACCGACTGAGCTACCCGGGCAGTTGTGTTTAGCAAGACGTTTAACTGTTTTGTCACCATAGTGAGCGTTATGATAACAAAAAAGAGAAAGAATAACTAAGAGATCGTGTTCTTATAAACAGAGTTGCCATTACACAATTTTTTGTATGTATATTAGCGGGATGTTTTTCAGTTTAGCTTGAATAGAACTTTGACAAAATAAAACTCTTTCCTTCCTTCGCCAATATTTCCTTTCTTACCTTGTTTTACAATTTGAGTTCCATTCGGCGTATTGCTCCAAAGAGAAAAACAAAATGTATAATCAGCTGGACACACCCGAAAAGTGGGTGTAGTTGTTTCCACAACTTCCAATTTGGTATTAACGGTATTCTGTAATTCTTTGGCTGTCAGACCAGATGAATCAAATTGTGGTGGATCATACTCATCGGTGTCATCATCTTCATCTAAGAGTATGCGATCATCTTCTTTAAAGCTCATGCAACCAAAAGGTGTTGGAGCTGCAACAATATTAAAAAATTAAATAAAACATACATATCTTGATAGTGATGAAATTCTAAAACTTACCAGTTTTTACTAGAGTTAATAAAACCAACAGGTATAGAAAAATATTTAGAATTTGCTTTGTCATTGTTTACAATTGTTTCACGTTCTTCTCTCCTCTTGGTGTAGTAAATTTTCAAACACTTTCGTTTTCAATTTTTTTAATGATATGTTTTGTGTTAGTTTCCAAATATTTCTATATTAAATGCCATTTTTAGGGACTTACAGGCTTGCATATCTGTAAATAATTAGAGTATCATTCTTATTACTAAATATTTATTTTAAAATTTATTTATTTTGTGTAAAAGATGGGTGCAACCAGTTAAAAATGATTTTTTAAAGCTTTTACCCTTTTACTTGTGTTAGTTAGTCTGTCTGGTTTGTTATTAAATGTTTTTTGTATTTATTGTATATTTATTTGTTTTTTACGCTTTTTCCAGTTTTGCCTTAGACATTCTATTAGTAATTGTGTCTTACAGATAAGGCATGTCTTGCTTTCAATCGTGATAAGCATTCTTATTAATATGTTTTTATTTTCCATACTTTTTTCCAATAGTTTTCATTTGTATTTATTTACGTTTATTGTTTAAATAAATTGCAAACATTAACGATCGTTTTGATGTGTGTATTGATGCGATCGATGATTGAAATGACACAATATAGTTCTCATTTAAATAGTTTCTCTGTTGTTTGAAGAGCAAGGGATTGTTAATGAGCACACACGCTCTTAATTTTAGTATTAGTGTAGTGTTGTCAAAACTTTGTGTTTAAAAAGCGTTCATTTTTGTTGAATTAAAATAAAACTAAATAGGTTGACTGGGTCTAATCTTCGATTCATATTTTGATACTTAATGAGAATGTGACAGCATTGTGATGTTCTATGAGACATGCAACATCTGTTCTCAGAGAAAATATAAGTTTTCCCGTTATAAAATGCTTTTATAACTCTGACTCTGACTCTTACCTAGTTAAAACATGATAATGACTTGTTCTTACTCTATAACTTACTTTTCAATTACTACTACATGCCGTCTATATTACTTAGAAGGAGTCTAGTTATGACTTACAAATAATATATTATGTAAGTACTTACATTTTATATATTCTATTTATCTCTATAAGATCAAGAATGTTTTGTTTCCCAATTAGAACTATGGTGCAGATCGAGAGGTTCAAAGCAATCATATTTGGGAGTATTTGATACCATTACACTAAGAAGAGCAAGAGGCGACGATTGGCAACGATTTCTGACATATATATTCTATTGATCTATATTCTATATATTCTATTGATCTCTATAAGATCAATAATGTTTTGTTTCCCAATTAGAACTATGGTGCTGATCGAGAGGTTCAAAGCAATCATATTTGGGAGTATTTGATACCGTTACACTAAGAAGAGCAAGAGGCGACGATTGGCAACGATTTCTGACATAGAACGAAATAGTTTCTCTTGCTTCGAAAAACAAATAACCAAGGCCTTTTTTGCTATGTCAGAAATCCGACATAGAAGCCCATAAAAAAAGTCATATTCGAATCGAAAGAAAAATTGATCCAATTAAGAAACCCGAAGCGTAATATATGGTGTGAGAACCCTGGCCAATCAGGAGAAATAATGTCAAAGATAAATTCCTTAGCGCCAAAATAATGCATGCAAATTGGTGGGAACAAAAGAGTCCCAATAATTATAAACTACTGAAATCGAGGCAGACGATCACCGAAAGCTGATTCGGCTTAAAAACTCCCGGAATAAGCGACCAGGCGTAAAGCCATAGGTAACTTTTTGGAAAATAGTTGCTGGAAAATTTTACTTCAACCGCCATAAAGTCTACACCTTGTTTAATCCGATAACTCTTTTTTTCGATAGATGAAGAATATTCTAACTGGAATACGCTTCAATTTAGAACTTTACTTTTAAAAATCCCGGTTTCGGCAGTTCAAAATACTGAAAATCCCATTTGCCATTCCTAGTATAATCTAAACAAATGACCTGAAAGTTATGACAACTATTGCTAAAACTAAAGTGGTGTTAACCTCAAAGAACCTTTCGTCCCATTTTTGGTGAAAACAAGCGTGATTCTGTTACAATTAAGCGGATTCTGCTAACATCCAACTTGAAAGCCATAGAAAGAAGTAATTTTTGCATCGAATGAAAAATGGATCCATTAAAGAAACCTGAAGCGCAAGATATGGTATGAAAAACCTGGCCAATCAGAAGAAACAATGTCAAAGTTAAAGTCGGACCAAAAGGGCTCCAAATCGGGCGATCACGGGGAAATTGAAAATATTTGATTTGCTTGAAGCAAACATTGGCTAAAAAACGTCGGAAATAAGTGAAAAGATGTAAAGCCACAGGAACAGTTAAAAGCTATTTGGAAATAGTAGCTGGGAAGTTTTGCCTCACCCACTTTATGTATATAGTGGATCTAGTCTCTTCCGACTACTATTTGTTTTGAGGCTCTAACTGGAATACGCTTCAACTTGAATACAATTCAAGATTGATTAATTTCATTCTTGGCCTCAAGCAGTTCTTTTGGCATTGTATCCTTGTGTTGCAAGAAATGTGTGAAGATGTCATAGCTAAAAATGTCCTATATACCAATCGGTTACAATTAACTTCCAAGATTTGACGAAAACTCAGCAATAACATTACTAAGTGCATAACAAATATGATGATTTTGTTATTCCATTTGCAACACTTTGAAATATCGGTTGTAGATCCCTTAAAGGATCTTGAAAGATCCTAAGGTAACCTTGTAGAGTCGGTCGGTATGGGTAAAATCGCTTAATCCCTTTGACGTTTAAAAACAAGCAAAAATGCGATAGGACCTAAAGGAGGTACATAGAAACCTGAAATATTTACACCCTCTTGCCAAATGAAAAATTAACTGTATTATAGTTGAATCGGTAAAAAGTTTTAAAAAAATTGAACATAATTTGGGTAAATTGTGGAACTTTGTATTGACACTACTGTCGTCATCTTTAATTTTTGATGATTAGATTTCAATTAAAAATTATTCATACTTTTAAAAATATTTTAAATATTTTTCATATAAATTTTACAATCTGCTGCTGCTATACTTAGTAAAATATTTATAAAATTACTTCCTGTAATGGAGTCGGCCTTGACCGATTGATTGTGCATATGTATGAATATTGTATTTATTTTAATTCTTATAAAATTATGCATTTTTTTGTTTGTTTTTTTTTAGGTTTTTTGTGCTCTTTCTCCAAAAGAGTATTATTGTAGGAAATATTACTCGATTTATAAAGTTTAGGCTAAATTCTCTTATTGTGCTGTAACTCATTCTCAGTATCTGTATCTGTGTATATAACCCGCGCGTATCTATGGCGCCACATAATTGCATATATGTTTTTTTGTGTTTTGTATCTTTTTTGCAGTCTCATGTATATATTTTTTTGTTGTAGTTTAAATATTTTGAGTGTATGCTTGTTTTTTGTTGTTGTTGCTGCTGTCTTTTTTAATGTCTTTTCAGTCTTATTATTGTGTTATTGGTCGTTTGTGCAAATAATATCTCGTTTAAAACAAGGGAGATATGTACGATTATTTTTTAATTTTTTGAGTTTTTCTCCATCTACACTTTCGTGCATGGAAGGTATCAAATGCATTTTGCCAGAAAATGAAAGAAACAAAACAACAACAACTTCTTAAAAAAAAGCACATGAAGAACACTATAACGAAAACGCACTTGTTCCTGGTACAAGTTCTGTTCAAAATTTTTTCAGATTTTTTTTTCTTTTGACAAGTTACAAAATAAATGTTTTCATGTTAATGACTCTTTAAGGCTTTAGGGATGTTTTTGTTTTTTCTTTCCTCCACAACCATTCTTGCCTGTCACAGTGGGTGGTGGGTTTAGTTGCTGTGTGTTTTTGCAATTTATTCTCCCTTGCCCCAAGAGTGTGGCAAAGACATTGATTTTTCACCAAATTTAAATTACAACTTTTTACATTTTCCATAAATTATTATTTAATAATTGTAATAATTTATATTAAATAATAATTATTATTTTTATTTAAAACTTTTTTTTAACTTTATATTGATTTTCTTTATAAAGAAAACTTTTTCTTCCTTGTTTTTTTTTTGTTGTTGTTGTACATTTTGTAGGTACATTTTATTTCACTTTAATTTATATTGACTTCCTTTATGACGAAAAAAAAAATAGTTTTTTTTTTGGTTTTATTTGTTTTAAAGGTGCGTCGTTTAATTAATTTACCTTTTTTTAATTTATAAATATAATTTTACACACATACTACTTTTTTAACTTTAAACATTTCTGCACTTTAAACAAACTTTTTAAAAAACAAAACGAAAAAAAGATGAACAAATTTGAATTCAAATAAAACAATTTCAGCGTAAATGTGTATTAATATTGTCGTGTATTGTTTGCTTTAGTTAGTTTTTTGTTGTATAAAAGTATAATACATATTATATTGGTATTTTTTTTTTTTTTTTTGTCTAATATAGCCGACCGGCGCCAGTTTCTCTGTTTTGATTCGTTTATAAACGTTTTTGCGTAGTCCACCGCTCCGCTTTCATTTAAAGCTAAATTGATTCTGTGCAATGTATCTGGTTTTAACAGATACAAAACTACTACTTGCTGCTGCCACTGTTTACTGTAAAGTTGTTTTATTTTTGCAAGGTTGCCACTACTAGAGTGCTTTTTATTTTTTTACAATAATGATTTGAAAAAATTTTCTTAATATAAACTATTTTTAAAAGAATTATGTTTGTATTTTTATAAAATATTGCAATTTTCATGTGTTTAGCCACTTCTCTATGTTAAAATTTGCAAAAACTATTCTTTAGCGTTACTACTAGTTTGAATATGAAATTGTTTATAAAATATGGTAGTTCTGTTAATGTATTATTGTCATGTTAAGGGAGTATATTAAAATTCTCTTAAAAAGCTTTGAAAAGAGAGTAATTCGAATACCCAATAGGAATAATGATTTGATGTGATAGTTTTACGTTTAAGGAAATATAAAGCAAGTAATGTTATGATGATTTCTGAAGATCTTCTTATTGCCGATTAAACTACATCCGATTTTAAGCTTTGTCATAAAATGATTACCACTATTCAAGTATATAACGTCTTTAACAAATTTATTCTAAAACATGGTCCAATGTTAATCTATTCAATATATTGGCCATTGTTAGGTAGGATTTTTTGCTATCTTTCTGGCAACAAGAGGCCTAGATCGAATCAATCCATTTTTCGGATACCATGCTCTGATGTTAAACGTAGCTCAAAATATTTACAGGGATAGGATCTTGACTATAAGGCGGGTGAGGCAAAACTTCCCAACCTCTATTTTCTAAATAGCTTTTTAATAATAGTGCAGGTGAAGTAATTTGACTAGCGTTTGGACCAGACAACCTAACGTATTTAGTTACGGGTATTAAAGTGATTCCTTTAGGATGCACATAGTGTTTGTGTTTAAAAGTTAAAGATCTGGCAACAATAGACCAA